GTCCTAGGAGGCAGAGGGGCAGAGTCGGGCGCGGGCGGCTTCCTGCCTCCTGGGTGCGTGGCCGCTGTGTCCTGCGCTGTGGTCCTGAGCTGCCTGCGGGGCCGGGGTGATGGGAGGTAGGGAGACGCTCGCGCGTGCACCCCAGCTGAGGCCAGCTGCAGGGGCAAGCACAGCGCCAGGGCGGCTGTCTCTCCAGCCAACCGTTTATCACCTGAAAACGGGAGTGTGGTGGGGAATGTTTTGTCCCCTCCACCCGCCACCCCCACCCGAGGTTTCCAAGGTGCTCTGCAGAGACGGGCTGCTGGGTCTGGGGGGGCGGCCCTGCCAGCCTGCCTGCCTCCAACAGCACCGTCTGCTTGGGCCGGCCCTCCGCACGGCCGGGTGGGGCAGGGTCCCCAGTATGCCCTGGTGGATCAGCGGGGTCTGTGCCACCCCTCCCGCCCGTCTGCCAGGGGACAGTGGCATCGACTCTGGCTCCGGCTCACAACGGCTTTCCTAGAGGCAATTGGCGAGGTGAGCGGCCCAGCCCAGGGGCAGGGGGCAGGTCCGCCAACCCCTCTGCTTCCTGTGCAGCCCTTGATGGAAAGAAGAACCCCCAGTTGTCAACAGCCGCGTCCCGTGTCGATGGAAAGTGAGAGCCTGAGACACCGGATTTAACCCCCAGTTCTTAGAAGTCACGGGTTAGAAGGGTTTGAGAGGAAGCGTGGGGTGGGGGTGTCTCTAAACAGAAAGCTCTCCCCAGGTACCCGTGTGATTCGGGGGCCACCAGTTTCGGGGGGCACGTATCGGAAAATCCATCTTCAACTTTGAAAGTGGGACCCAGCGAGGGGGTGCCTGCCAAGACGTGTAGACCGGTGCAAACCTGAGCCCGGGGTGCAGGGGACCGAGGAGGGTGAGAGTGGGGGCCCCAAGAGAAGAGCAGACGAGGACTTGGTGCCTGTCGGGTCGAGCCAGCTTGTGGCATCTGAGCGGATTCTGGGTTTTGTTTCCAGCATGCCCTGACAGATTGCTTAATAACAGACCAGGGCCGAGACGCCGGGGCAGGGCTCCCTGCAGCAGGGGCAGGGCTCCCCGCAGGGCTCTGTTTCCCTCCAAAGCCGTTTCTGTTTCTGTGTCGCTGCCTCAGAACCCCCGTGCCCGCCTCTCAGGCCCTGCTCCTCAGGCTCTCTGAGCCGGCAGCCCGGTCGCTGTCGGGCAGGCTGAGGGGTGCTTGGAAGGCGTCTGCGGGCGTCTGTGCTGTGTCTGCGTTTCCTCCGCCTTGGGACTGGAGACACCCCGCTCCTCCTGGCATCTGGGCGGCACGCAGGCTCCATAATGACACTCGCGTCTGGGTTCTGGTTGGCTTGCTGGGATCGGATGGGTTTGTGAGTTGTGTGACAGGCGGCGTGCCGGTTTGGTTTGGTTTGGTTTGGTTTGGTTTGGTTTGGTTTTGGTTTGCCGGTAAATGGAAAATCTGTTGTGAACAGTGAAGGCCGGCTCAGGCATGGCAGCTGTCACCTCTGCTCTCAGCCCACTGGGAGGCCGGCCCGGCACCGCCCTTGCAGCTGGGGGTCCTCTGCCCAGGGTCATCCACACGCGTGTCCTGTCATCAGAAGAGACTGCTGTTTCCCCGGGGCCCCCAAGCGCCCTGCGTCGGCTTCCCCTCCCTCCCGCGCCCTTCCTGAGTGGATGCTCGGAGGTGCGACTTCACAGAGTGGGGACTTACTTGAAAGCATCGTGCAGAGCTGCAGAGGGTGTGGGAGCAGCTCCCAGAGGTGGGGGCCCCGCTGCCGATGGGTCTGGCCACCCCTTTCC